ACCTTGCTCCTAGTAGCGATGCCCTTTGTTACTAGTAGCGAACCTTGCTATATGTGTTTACTTCTGTTCTTCCGACCTTTTTCTCGACTCAGGTAATGTTGGCGTGGTCTCAGTGACTGTGAACAACTGTGTGTCCGGGGCACACAACCGCTCATCAGAACGCGTCGAGAGTTCCGGGCGGAAAGACACAGCTGCAAGTATTTGGCTCACCACCCAAGTGTGGGCTCATCTAGAGAGCTAGTAACCCTTTAGAGATCCAGTGGAAAAGCTGTGCATACACCCTTTTGTGTACGTTTCTGGTTGTTTGGTAGACTACCCATTGTTCAAGAAACATCCAAACAAGTGGTTATCTACCAGATTGGCTGGAATTCAGGTCGGCTGGCATTTCTCAGATTTCCATGCAAACCTCGGCCATTGGGTTCTGGAGCACATCTTCGCCTCGACCCTAATACTGGAATTCGTGTAAATTGTTCAGCCCAAAGAATCAGGGTGTCTAACCTGCTGTTAGTGCAAAGTGTCATCAAAGAGTCCAATAAAACACAACTGGCCGATCAAGACATTTCATCAGGACTTTGAAATGTCAAAAACCATCAAGGGAGTGAAAAAGCCAAGATCTGCATGGGTCATACGCATATTTGACACACACATATATATATATATATGGCCAATACTTGGATTCTCCAACTCCCCATGCCTGCTCTCCTAAGCACCACTGGGATCCGGTAGGTTACACCAAGACCTTGAAGCATGGCCATGGCCGTGCAGAATTCTTCGCCCGATGGGTCTCTGACGGTCTAGACCGACTTTGCCCAGTCTCGACGGGTCAAGGGCGCCCAGAAGAGACTCGAAAGAACCATTCGTCCAGATGCCGAGTTGAGGGCATGTACGTCTCGCACGCACTTCTCAGGATCGCTTGCTGCGGAATTGGACCAAACGTCCAGGATGCAAGAAAGGATAACTCAAGGACATCAACAAGATAGAGCAATGTCTTAAACAACCTATATAATAGCGATGGCCTCCACCCAGCAAGCGGTGGCCTTCAACCTACTAGCGATGGCTTAAAGATGGTCTTTTTGTTCCGTTTCGCTTCCAAAACATTCAACCTTTGCTTCCTATACCCCCGGGTCGCTTTGCACTCCGCACCCGAAAGTATGGCACAACGGAGGCCTCCGCCATGCGCTGCGGGCAGCACCGTGACGGTGACTTTGGAAGGGCAGAGCTTGCAGCATAGCAATCAGGTCCGGGAGTGGAGCTTTAGCACACATTAAGTGGTGGAGTGGACTGGAGTGGAGTGAGAGACGTTTTGATTGAGTGACCATGTGTATAGCTTGCTTGGTTTTCTTCGTCCACATCAGGAATAGATGGCCAAGATCTTTTGTTTGGGGGGTCACTTGTTCCGAATTGGCCAACGAATTAGCGATCCGCTCCGATCGGGTGCCTTCTGATGGCAGTGACAAGCTCGCAATTGCAGAGGATGGGCGAAAAGAGAAATTGCCGGGCATTCTAATTACTCTTAATTCTTGTTTCTAATAGCTTCTTGTTACTAGTAGTAAGGCATTTGTTACTAGTAGCGATGCACTTGTTACTAGTAGCTTATTCTAATTACTCTTAATTCTTGTTTCTAATAGCTTCTTGTTACTAGTAGTAAGGCATTTGTTACTAGTAGCGATGCACTTGTTACTAGTAGCTTATTCTAATTACTCTTAATTCTTGTTTCTAATAGCTTCTTGTTACTAGTAGTAAGGCATTTGTTACTAGTAGCGATGCACTTGTTCCTAGTAGCTTATTCTAATTACTCGTAATTCTTGTTTCTAATAGCTTCTTGTTACTAGTAGTAAGGCACTTGTTTCTAGTAGCGATGCACTTGTTCTTAGTAGCTTATTCTAATTACTCGTAATTCTTGTTTCTAATAGCTTCTCGTTACTAGTAGTAAGGCACTTGTTACTAGTAGCGATGCACTTGTTCCTAGTAGCTTATTCTAATTACTTTTAATTCTTGTTTCTAATAGCTTCTTGTTACTAGTAGTAAGGCACTTGTTACTAGTAGCGATGCACTTGTTCCTAGTAGCTTATTCTAATTTCTCGTAATTCTTGTTTCTAATAGCTTCTTGTTACTACTAGTAAGGCACTTGTTACTAGTAGCGGTGCACTGGTTCCTAGTAGCTTATTCTAATTACTCTTAATTATTGTTTCCAATAGCTTCTTGTTACTAGTAGTAAGGCACTTGTTACTAGTAGCGATGCACTTGTTCCTAGTAGCTTATTCTAATTACTCTTAATTCTTGTTTCTAATAGCTTCTTGTTACTACTAGTAAGGCCAGGAGCCCCGTTCGTAGCGTCCGATCGCTCCGTTCGTAGCGATGCCCTTTGTTTCTAATAGCTATTGGCCAGGGTCAGGATTGTTTGAACGGCCACATGATCCCTAGCAAGGCAGATCGTGCCGTCGGGTTCGCGGCAAAAACGCCAGGAAAACCAATGTCACCGTGTTACGTTTTTGCATGGCATGTGTGGCGCTTTCAGGTGGAACACGCGCACGGGGTGAGCTACAGTCTGAGCTGCAGCAGTGTGAACGCCGACTACAGCGGAGACTTGGAGGTCCGACCGTGTTAACCACCTCGGTCGTTCTCAGTCCAGGTACCTTCCAAGGGGTGCCCTGGCTGGAAGCCCCAGCCCACCACTAAGGGACCTCCATTGGATACCCCTTGAAGGTCCAGGGTGGTTCGGGTCGCCTTTTTTTTCCATCTCGGGGCACCAAGCTGAGGCCGTTGAACAGCGGGACTGAGGGGGGTTTTCCGGCCCTGCTGGAAAAACAAGATGAGATGTGTTTTAGCGGACGGATGACCCCAAAGTGGCAGAGGTTGGCCGGCGGGATGTGGAACGAGCATTATAATGTTTCTAATAGCTTCTTGTTACTACTAGTAAGGCACTTGTTACTAGTAGCGATGCACTTGTTACTACTAGCTTCTTGTAACCAATACATCAAAGAACATGAAACATCATGAACCATATCATATAGCCATGCCAGTAGGAATATGGTAGCCATCGATTCATCGATTCATGTGAAGCAATGCAGGTCAACGACCAGTCCTTTAATGCGACCAGTCACTCTTTTGTTTGCCATGAAAAGCCTCTAGAAACACATGGCCGGAAGATCCATCTTGACTTGCCGGATTCATCACCCCAAGTTTGCTTCAAATGCTTCCTCTTCGTCCCTCCTCACAACGTCGCTCCAAACGAACACGCGGCGGCATCTCCGCAGGTCTCCTGTGATGCCTCAGAGTTGAAGGCTGACACCTCCACCTGTATGGGCCTTTGTGGTTCGAACGGGACGAACAGGAGGCCCTTTTTGCCTTTTTCGCTTCAGAGCGGAAACCAACGCGGAAAAAACGGTGGGAATTCTGCGCATGTGGTGTTTTACCACGACTCCCGAAGTCGTGGCATCCAACGCGCCGCGCTTTTTCTTTTTTTGATGTTTTTCACATTGTGAAGTTGGGCAACTCCAGGTTACCGGGTTTCTTTGAGCATGTTCATCCGAAAGAAAGAACAACAGAACAGCAATGACCAGGGAATCTGCTCAGCAGTTGATGCTAATGTCCACATCATTCAGCACAAGGTGTCCAAGTTGAAGGACTTCTGTTTTGATATCCTTAGGTCCTTAGCCTTCCATTCGACCGTTGAAAAAAATGATTGACCATGAGCAGTGTAAAATCCGAGTAAAGCATATGTCACACAAAGGTGTCAGGATGTTGGGGATGCGACCCACCCTGAGGCATTGGCATCCCCTGTGAGACTACAGCCACCGTGGAGGCCAGATGGGATTCTTTAAGAAATCGAATATTGGAAGACTTGATTGATCTCGATTGGTGAAAATGCCTTCAAACCATCCCCAAAAAGAACCCCCCCCACCGCTTGCCACTTGAACGGCATGGAATCAGTGACAATTTGTCGTTGACCTGGGAAGGTTCGAATCTTTCGAAACAGGGTGAACGGGCTTGTGCCACTGTGTGTTTTTTGTGTGTGTTATTTTTTTTTCAGTGTGTTCAGTTGTTTCTGAACTTGTGCAGATGATCTTGCAATTGGCCTTGGATTCCAAACTGTTTTTTTGTCACGGCTGCCTTTGATGCTAGTATAGCTAAACTTATACGCTTGCTTGGATCCTTTCTGTCAATAGGCTTTTCAAGCATAAAACGCTACTGGACGTGCCTCCACATAATCTTCCAAAAGGGCTTGATTGCAAGGCATGACGGTGTAGGTCGCTCGGCGGTTTTCAGCACTGCAGGTCTCAGTGGGCTGGCTGAATGGGACCCTGGCACCTAGCAGCCAGGCTGGTTGCACGCACGGACCGAGCAGATGAAGAATAGCTTCTTGTTCCTAGTAATGCCAGGAGCCCCTAGTAGCTTCTTGTTACTACTAGTAAGGCACTTGTTACTAGTAGCTTCTTGTTCCTAGTAATGCCAGGAGCTACGTTCGTAGCTTCTTGCAAAGCCAAGAAAAGTTTTATCATGATAGTGCTATAGCAGCTTCTCCATTGAGCATGAAAGACAGGCACAGCTTGCACGCTTCGAAGAGGAGTAGGTATGGCGACTCACCCCAGGAGACATGGCGACTCACCGGAGTCCAAGGAGACATGGACTCTAAAACCTATACCAGCAGGTGGTTTTTGGACCTTTAAACCAGTGGTTTCTGGGCACCTCTTGTCACCAGGAAGCACACGGCAACACCTGGACAGCCCGGTGGCCAATCTTCGGTTGGAGTTCGGGCCGACTGGGCGCCTTTCCGTCTTCGACGCGGGTTTCTGTGGGCCGATGATTTGCTCCGATGACTTGCTCCGGATGTAGAGCGATGTCTGGAGCCGTTTGGACCTTCCGTTCGCTCTTTGTGTCCCTCGTGACTGTTTGAGCTCCAGTCGGCTGAGTCCAACTGCTACAGCATCAATGAGGAGTTCTCGGGTGACATCGCTCTGCCGGGCCAGCCCAGTGGATTTGGGCTGAAGGAGTCTGGAGGGTGCCAAGGAGGTCTGATAGGGGACAGCGGATGGGGTCAATTGGATGATTTGAATGGATGAATGATCTGAATCTGAATATATGATATGTTCTATATTGTTTTATGTTTCATATCATATGTTGATATATAATATGTTGTAATCCTGGTGCTTGAGACTCTCGGAGACCCACCAGGATAAGAGCATGATATCGCAGTGCCGCACCCACAGCACCGCTTCTTTCGGTCTAATTCTTTTCGGTTCTGCTCGATCGGACGCTGCGATGCCCGGAGCGGCATCGCGACTCGAACGGAGCGATCGGACGCTACGAACGGGGCGAAATTGGCCTTACTAGTAACAAGAAGCTACTAGGAACAAGGGCATCGCTACTAGTTTAGTAACAAAGGGCATCGCTACTAGGAGCAAGGACGCTGCTAATAGTGAAGCTCCTCCTTTTCCCCCTGCAGTGGTTGAGATGAGAGCCTTTGGGGATTCACGTGGGTGGAGTGAGCCATCTCATACAGCAGAAGGGACGTCATCCTTGCCCGATGTTTCAAATTAAACTGGCTTGTATGGATGTGTTGGTTGTTTGGTAGTAAATGTTCTATCATGTTCTATCTATACCATAATTTATGTCATGAGTTCTTACATTATATTACGTTGTTGTGGGAAACGAAAGACTTTCCAGGATGTTGCTGCTGGGTTTACCACTGGTCTTTCGACTTCCCCGTGCCCTGCAGGACCTGCGCAGGCGGCACCGTGAGCCGGAAGCTCAACCGATGAATTTGAGATGAGCCAAGAGACATGGAGCCCTTTCAGGGTTGAACACCTGTAACTCCTCCAACTTGTGATTTATGGTTGTTGTGTGATCAAATGTTTTGAACTACAGTAGATTCGTTTTGTCATTGCAACCACCCCTGCAGGAGGCATCATTATATATATATATACGGACGCTGTTATGTGTTGTGTTAATCAACATGTGATCAAGAAAACTGCACACTGAACTCTGGTGTTCCCACCAAGCTACATGCGTCCAGTTGAATAGTCCAGCTAGTGGTGTCACCACCCTGCCAGTTTGTTTGCTCTATAATTGTAGCTACAGATTTGCCAAAGGCTTTGGCTCCCAAAGGTGTTTATCTGATCTCATCAGATGCAGATCCTGCTCAGAATCCTTGCTTCTTGCGAGGAGGGGCTCCTCATAGGGGCTTTTGACACCAATTTAAATCCAGTTGAAAAAGTCAGTTGGATGCCATTGCTATTAGGGGGTCGCCGCTCTCAGGTTGGAGGCCATCGCTAGTAGGTTGGAGGCCATTGCTATCAGTTGCATGCTGATGTTGGAAGCCTGAGGTGCCGTCATGGCCTGTACTCAGATGGAGGTTGGATGCCAACCAGGAGGACAAGGCCGCGTGTCCACGCACACTGAACCATACGCGCTCCAGCACTTCCATTGGCCACATGAGGTGTGTCAAATGAAAGGTGTGAAGTTGGTGAATGATTGTGTTCTGCCCAGACTCATGAAAGGGATCCCAGTCGCTATGCTTTTTCGGAGGCCGCTTCTATAGGTTGGAGGGCATCGCTGTTCACCAACCCGTTCGGCACGTCGGGGGACGAGGCCGTGGTGATGCGGTCACCGTGGAGAGCTACACACAGGCGGTCGGGTGATGGCGGGGTCGTGTGGGTCGTGTGGGTTGGTCCTGTGGAGCACTACACGTGGTAGTCAAGGTGCAGAATTTCATCTCAGATACACGAGAAAGGAAGCTTGACCTGGGGTCGTGTGGAGAAGACTGGAAAACGGACAAGCAAGCCGGCATCGTGCGCGTTCGTGCGCGGACAACCAACGTCTTGAAAGAGTTTCATCGATCTGTCAATCCACGAGTTGTTTGCAAGATTGAGGAATCTCGAAGAAAAGGAACCTCAGCTTCTTCCGGAAGCTCAGCATCCCACGAGTTCTCGTGACGAAGCTTCGCTCACAGGGTCTCATCCGGTCGATCGAGGCTTTACAGCCCAGTGCTCCAGTGCAGCTGGGTGGTCAGTGGAGCTTTGTTCCAGCGCTCAGTGGGCGGGGAGCGGGAAGCGGAGACAGAGAGATCAGCTGTAGTGAACAGTTGGGTGGTGACATGTCATGGTACCAGTATGGAATGATTGTAGTTTCTTGCGCAGAAAACAACAACATATTGTTTGATCGGAAACCCTGTGGTGCATCGAAAAGAGAAAGCACCGCTCAAGGGACCTGCAGCGTGTACTGGAGTCGCATGAGAAATTGACCAGCCCCGCAACGGAGTTGAACAACTGCGGCCATTGTGAGAACATGGCCTGCTTTGCTCTAGGTCGTAAGGGACATGTTCTGCTTTTTTGTTTAATGCAGATCGCTCGCTCCTACTTTGGCACGTGATCTGGATGGTACCCAAATAATTGCGCCTACAGTGTGCAGCAGGATGAGTCATAGGATCCGAGTTCCCATCGGTATCCATCGATCAATCAGAGTCGGGGGCCCTTCTCCATGCAGATCAAGTGCATCGAGCGCCAAGGACTGCTCGAGCTTTACTTCTGGAACTTATGTCGGGGGGGCCCGGCTTGGGAGAAAAGATCCATGTCGAAGGCTCCAGGCT